CTGTCCTGGGGAACACCGCAGAGCACGGTGCAGCCCCATGCTGGGGTGGCTGGTGACCCTAAGCTGGCTTTCTGACCCCGACCCTTCCGGGGCCCCTGCCCAGCTGGTGACCAGCAATCAGCAAGAGAGTGGTGGCGGCGGGGAGGTCTGTGTGTTCACACACGTGCATTGGGGGCCACAGAGGAGGGCAGATTCCAGCTCTCCAGCTAGTTTTCAGTCGTGCCGAGGCCCTAACAGGAACCTAGCTCAGGGCCCAGAGCAGCCCCAGCTCTAGCACCAGCCACCAGCTGCAGCGGCAACGCCCCAACCCCAGCTGCATGTACTCTGCTCCCCTCACCCCATTCCACGAAAACCTGGCCTCGCAGTGAACCCTGCTCCCACCAGCACCCCCTGGCAATGCGCCCCCCCCCCACCGAGACACCCCAATACGGTTCTCATTTGCTCTCTTTCTTCTGGGTCCAGTTCAGAATGGGAGAGGGGAACTGGTTCTCCACCCAAACTGGAAACCCCAAAGGGAGGCTCCCACAGGGACACTGGCTGGCCACACGTGCCTTCCTGTCAGGCTGGTGGCATGCAATGACTACCTGGGGCGGGACCTGGGGGCCTGACTGGGGGCAGAGGTCTGGCTGAGGGCTACCACATGGGGAAGGCTCCAGCCTGCAACCTCTGTCCAGTTTCTTGGCGCTGGCGCTGCTTTCCAGGCGGTGCCAACCCCCACCACCCGTGGGATTGGCATCAATGCTCCTCCTGGGTGGCACCACAGGTCAGGGTGCCTGGTGGTGCTCACTGCAGTGCCCTGGCCCCAGCTGCACGTGGCACCCCCCCAGGCCGCTGGCCTGAGTGCAGTTTTAGAACCCACCTTCCCTGCCTTCCCGATGGCTCAGGGTCAGGAGAAGCCCCTGGAGTGACTGGCCAGGCAGCCCATGTCCCAGAGTCTCGGAGACCCCACCTGAGCCCAGCTAGCCATCACCTGTTGGCACAGCCTTGGGCCCTTGCCACTGTCCTGTCACTCGCACCCTGCTCTGTGGACTGCACTGGCCAGGAGCAGCCCTTTGGACACCCCTGAGTGGTGGCCAGGAGCAAGTCCTCCCGAATTGGTCCCAAATCCATGGTTCTGGGGTGAGGGCACTGGGACATGCACAACAGAGGGGCCCGTCCTAAACCCTCAGCTGGGGTGGGGGGCAGTAGAGAGTCGGGGTCCACCCTTGCTTCCTCTTTCTGGTCATGGCCCCTCCTCCTGGTTGTCTGGTTCTTTTTTGCTCTTCTTTGTCCCACAGCCTCCAAGACACTGGTCTGGGGGAGGGCTGTCTGCACCCCACCCATCTAGAGGGACCCTGGACAAAGCAGCTGGCCACCACCTCTGCTCCTGGGCAGCCTCTCTGGGCCGCACAGTCAGGGAACCAGGACTTAGGTGACAGGGCTTCACAAGAGCGTGGCAAGGGCAGGCCAGGGTGGGGGGCACTTCTCTTGGTCTCTTGAGGACCCTCCTGGTCCTTCCAGCCTTTGGCTTGTGGACCCCATCTCCACCTGGGCCAGTGATGGAGGGGTAGGAAGGAGCAGGTTCCTGGGATGGACCCCAGACTTCCTCAAACCTAGCCATGCCTTGCTCCTGCCCTTCTCTGCCCCCACCCTCACCATCTGCTGGCCACTGCTTACAGTGAAGAGTGACCCCCGACTGTCACCATGACAAGTACAGAAGACCTCTAACTATGGAGTGGGAGACTGGGCTCTGGCCCTGGCTCCGCCAACTTCTATGTGACCTTTGCCGTGCCTTTCTGGGCCAGTCTAGAGGGGATCAGGTGACCTCTGCAGGCTGGCATCTGTTGGAACCCGGGATCTCTGAGGCAGCTGTCCTGGAACTTTTGGGGCCAGGACGGGAGTGCCCCATCCACACCTCCCCAGAGGGCGAGCCCAAGCTCCAGTCAGCATGGAGACCTCCTCCCTAGGGGCTGTTTCCCCAGAAGCTGGGGCCGCTGGGCAGCCTGGGACTCTAGACCCCGGTAGGAAAGGGACCTAGGCTTCCTCTTGGTGGGCTGCTCCCCTCCAGCCCAGAGCTGGGGGAAGAGGTTGCTCAACACTGGGTGGGGCCTGGGAAGAAGATGGCGCCCAACGGGGAGAGGGGGGAAGACGTGGAGAACAGCTTGGAGGTTCTGGGCCAGGGTGGTAGGGGAGCCCTCTTCCTGTGCGTCCTTTCTGCTGGGAACGAAGAAGCCCTCAGCCCAAGGAGGGTGGATGGGGAAGGCCCTGAAGACTCCGCCTGAAGAGGAGACCCTGCAGGGCCAGGGCGGACAGTTGTACTCCCAACCCAAACCCCTCTGGGTTCCTTGAAGCTCCCCTCAGGTCTCCATCTGTCTGCCTCAGTTTCCCAGCATCTCCAGCCAGGCCTTGGGTTCTTTCCAGAGCGTCTCCACCATATCGCCCTGGGCCCTGGCGCGAACAGGCGGGCGCAAAAGTGGCACAGCCAGTAGGCCCCTGGCGCGCTGTGGCCCCGCGACCCACCACCGAGAGCAGAATTCCAGCCGCGAGGGGGCGCCCTCCCGCGGGGAGCCTGGGCCCAGGCCGCTGGAGGGCTGAGTTCGGGGGACGCGCAGCCAGGGAACCCCAAGTCCACTTATGCAGATGGGCGGGCGCGGTGCCCGACCTGGTCCTCCCCGGGGACCAATCCCCCGAGGGCAGGGTGGCCGAGCCCGAGGTGCGGCGGCGCGGGGTGCTCACCTCCAGAGCTTGCCCAGCGTCTTGCTGAGCTCGGCGTTGTGCAGGTGCGGGTACTGGTCGGCCAGCTTCCTGCGCGCCGCCTGCGCCCACACCATGAAGGCGTTCATGGGCCGCTTCACGTGCGGCTTGCTCTTGCTGGCGCCGTTGACGCGCACGGGCATGGGCACCAGCGTCCAGTCGTAGCCGCTGAGCACCTGGCTGACGGCCTCGCGGATGCACACCGGGAACTTGTCGTCGTCCGCCTCGCCGTCCTGCTGCTCCTTCTTGACCTTGCCCAGCTCGCCGGGCCCCGGGCTGGCCCGCAGGCCCGAGCCTCCGCCGCCGCCGCCGCCGCCGTCGGGCCCCAGCGGGGGCGCGCTCCCCGGGGACAGGCAGCGGGGCTCCTCGGAGCCCACGGGGCTCAGCTCCACCTCCGACAGGTCCTGCTCCTCGGCCATGTCGTCCCCGGCCGCCGCCTCGGCCGCCTCCCCCGGGCCCGCCGCCGGGGTCCTCGCAAAGAGCCCAACGCCCACCTGGACGGGAGGAAGGAGGCGCGATGGGCGCGCTGCGCGCGGCCCGAGGGCGCCGGGTCGCGGTCCCGCCCGAGGTGGCGGCCTCCCTGCCCGCGCTGCGCTGTCGGCCCGGGCCTCGCACATGCCAGCCCCGGGTGGGCGCGTCCCGCCTCCCTCCGCGGCCTCCCACCCCAGTCCCAACCGTCTCCGGGTGTAGGTGGGATTTTTTTTTTTTTTTTTTTTTTTTTTTTTTAATAAACCTCCTTTTGGGTGGAGGTTTGTTGATGGAAAGGAAGAAAAACGGACCCTTTATTCAGCTGTAATCCTGGCCCCTGGAATTTCCCACCTTTTCTCTCACCTCTCTTTCCTCCCTTCCACCCACCCCGTGGAGTCGAGGGGAGCCGGGCTGGGGGCTCGCGTGCGTGGCGCGAGGTGTCAGCCTCTCCCACCCCAAGCGGGGGGCCCAGGCCTGGCCGCACTCACCTCCTCCGACCTCTCCTCCAGTCTGGGGCTCGTCCTTAGGAAGTGGAAAACCGTGTCCCAAGGTGTGCGGTCCAGCTCGGGGCTGGGGGGTGACGCTGCTGGGCTGGGAGGGAGGGGCTGGGGGGCCCTGAGCCTCAGGCCACGGCCTCGTTGGGACGGAGCCTGAATCCTCACCACCAACCACCCTGGCCGGACAGCCTGAGACTGACTGAGCGACTGAGCTGCTGCGGAGGGCTGGGGAAGGAAGGAGGGGGAGGGGAGGGGAGAGGGGGAGGGAAGGGCAGAAGGTGGAGCCTCCAGCGATGCCTTCATCCCCAGCACCCAGGGCTCCTCCACCCCGCCCAGGCCCCCCCAGCCTCCCTACTGCTGCCCAGGCCCATATCCCTGGCCTGGCCTGGGTTTGGGCCACAGGCAGGCATAGGGTTGCGGTGATTAGGCCAGGGAAGAAAGAGACCTGTTGCTTAGAGGAAAATCGAGGACCCCTAACCTCTGCCTCAGGTGGGGAGATGTGCATCTGGCAAAGGGCTGGGCAGAGAAGGCGGTGAAGGTCCCATGACCCATGGGGGCAGCAAGCCTGCGTTGCTTCGTTTAAGAAATTGTCTTGAGCACCTCCTGTGTGCTGGGCACTGCTACTGGCTTGACTTGGTCTCCACGGCTCCTGCCTTGTCCACCCCAGGCTACACAGCAGGAGCAGGAGCTCAGCTTCCTACTGTGGAGGCAGGGGCAGCTGGACAGCCCTGCCCAGTGTGGATGCCCAGCTCACGCCCTGGTCTCTTCGTCCAGATGCTCAGTGCCAGGAAGCCCACACAGCAAGCCCAGGTGGGACAGCTTACGGTCCCGTAGGTCTCAGAGGCCTTCATGGTCCTGCTTCCTGGGATCCCCCACCACCACTAGGCTCACCTGTTAGAAGAAGGGGGTGCAGTCCTGGTGTCACAAAGTTCCCTGCTCCCTGCCCCTAGAGGGGGCAGCAGCTGCACTGGGTCTTCTGTGCGCTACCCCTTCCTCTCCTCTCTCCCCTTCCCTGCCCTTCCTGCCCTTCACCTCACAGCTCCCTCCTAGGTCTGGAAGGTCACAGCCCCTCTCTTCCCAGGAAGGCAAAAGGGGGTTGCATGTGGAGGGACGGGCAGGCAGAGGAGCCGGGACAGCGCTGGTGACCATGTGTGGGTCCTAGTTCCTTTGCAACCAGGCCTAGCTCAGGGGCGTTCAGTCTGGAGTTGGGGCAGGATGGGGGTCCCGGCAGGCAAGGCCTCCTGCTTGGGAAGGCCCAGGGGCTGGAGGGGGCGGGTATTGGGACACAATGAGGTAGTCACACAAGGCGAAGGCATGTTGGGGGGTGGCGGACATCAGAACACACGCACACATGCTTGCACACACACAACCAGCCAGACAATCGGGCCAGTGTGTCTGGGGCCGTGGAGCCCAGTGAATTAGGAGTTTGATAAGGGTTTTCTCTTTCTCTTGCTTGCTGGCCTTGGACAATCTCCCCCCAGTTTTCCTCGACGCCACCCCCGGCGCTGCCAACCCTCCTCCCCCGCCTCCCTTCTCTTCCCTGTGCCCAGACTCTTGTTCGGGGCCTTGAAACAGTGAGCCGTCTTTGTTCGAAATACAGGTGAACGGCAATCATGTGATTAACACACACACACATAAAAAGCTTTTTAACAGCGCCCGCCCGGCCTCAGAACTGCCCGGAGAGGAGCCGCCCTGGATGGACAGAGGGACGGAGGGACGAGCATCCAGCCAGTCGTGTCCCAGCTGCCCCACGGCGGTCTCCACTGCCCGCTGCTGCCCGCCCGCTGCCCGCCTGCCTGGCATCTCTCTCCCGGTGGGTTCCCGCTCATCCTTCCACCCCTTGGTCCCTCCTCTCCTGGGAAGGACCTCCCTGCTCCCTGCTGGGCCTGGGACTGTGCCTGAGACCCCTGAGGCGGGCAGGGGTGCTGTGGAGGGAGAGGGGCCCGCTGAGGACGGGGTGGGGGGTGGGGGTCTCACAGCACTCCCCTCTCCAGCTCCCCGCCCCCACCCTCTCTGGCTCAGCTGCCAGGAAGGGGGGAGTAGCAGTGGGCATTCTGGGTCCGTAGGGAAGCCACACCAGACGGCAGGCTGCTCCCTCTCTGTCTCTCTCTCCTCCTCACCCCTGCAGCACTCCATTCCCCTGAGCCCTTGGGCTCTGCCAAGGGTGCTGGATGATAAAGGTGCCTTGCTGGGGTGCCCGGGAAGGGCTGTGTGCAGGTTGGGGTCCCTTGCCATGGACAGGTTCCCTGCTCCCCAGGCTGGCAGGTGGGATCCTCGCTGTCCCATCTCAGGGGACCTAGTTTTCTCCAGCAGTGGAGGGCATCCCCCCATATGCACTTTTGCAGTTTTAGGAGTTTGGAGCTGTGGGCTGGGTCCTGGCTGAAGACCCTAGGCCCTGACCCTGACAGAGTGACCAATGCTACCTTCTGCTCCTCCCCTATTGGGAGTGGAAGGGGTCCCCTCACTGTCCCCATTCCTTACTCTCTCCCAAGGTACTCCTGACCTGACAGGGCTTGTCCCCTCCATGGTGAGCTCTGTGGCCGCCACTGTCTTCTGCAGAGAGCTGAGGCCCAAGTGCATGGCTGAGCTTAGAGGCCTTGAAGGGACCACTGGATTTCCTGTCCCTAGTTTTCTGAGGGGTTATTTGCCCAGGTCACCAGGGACCTCACCCTTCAGCCCCCAGCCCTCCCAAGGCCGCCACTTGGGTCCAAGTCCCACCCCACAGGGTGATGCCCACCTCCTGCTGTCCAGGCCCCCAGGATGAGCTGAGGTGAAGGCTGAGAAACCAGCTCTCTGGGGGAGCTAGGACTATACAGCTCCTTGGGGTCAGGGAGCCGTCTGCCCCAGCCTCAGTTTCCCCACAGTATCATGAGTGTCTCTTCTGGACCTCCACATAGGATATAGTGACGATCAGATGAAGGGACACAGGGAAGCCTTTACCACCTGTGGATGCCACCATTCTGGCTGTCCCCTCGTTGGTGACTTCCAGCTGTGCCCCTGCCCTCCTAGGCCTGGAGGGTCTTTAATGAGCTGACTTGGTGCTGGGGAGGGGGGCGTGCTCTGCGCCTGCCCAAGGTCAGTCCCATGGTCTCCCTCTTGCTGCCTGAGATGCATTTGCAGAGGTCTGGTCTTTTTCTTTTTTTTTTGACACAGGGTGGCCTCAAACTTACGATCTTTCTGCCTCAGTTTCCCAGGTAGCTGAGATTAAAGGCATATACCATTGGGCCCAATACTTGTGGACTTTTTTTTATTAGCACTTGTAGAGTTTTAAAAAAAATACGGAAACCTGGATTCCACCCCAGACTGGTTAATCTGAATTTCTGGGGATATGGGACAAATACGCTTTTTGCAGTTGCCTGGTAGAGCCAACAGGAGCCCAGGCAGCCCTGAGGCTGTGAAAGTCCTCCTGCCAGAGGCAGGATTTCTAGGGAGATGGTTGGGGTGGGCTCTGTACCCTGGTTCTGGAAACTGCAGGGCACATTGGGGTGGCCAAGGGTTTGGAGGTGTGGCAGAGAGGGAGGTTGAGGACAGGGAGGCAGATTTGGAAGTCAAGGGCAGAGTTGTGGCAGAGACAGAAGCCAAGCAATGGAGCCCCAGCTCACGGAGTGGGGTGGCCGTGGCAGGGGTGTGGCGACCCCTGAGCACCTTTAGAACATGGGCACCTCTGAATACAATCTGGGTGCAGCAGAAGGTGATTCGGCTTGGGAAATGCCCTCTACCCTCCAAGTAGCCTTGGCTACATTATGCTGTGGCCCACAGGACTTGGTTTTGCCTGTGTAAAATGTCGATAATAAAATTATATTCTCAAGTGGGCAGGAAAAATAAGAACACACACACACACACACAAAGCACCTTGTTTAGCAACTGCTGGATAGATGTAAATTAGAGACTGGCCTCTGCCTGTGATCCGGGCTGTCAGGAGGCTGAGGCAGGAGGGTCACCTTGAGTTCGAGGCCAGCCTAGATTCACAGTGAGACTTTGTTGAAGAAAAAATAAATAAATAAATAAATAAATAAAGAGGAGGTGTTGGACCTGTACTGGAGGGGTGAAGGGTGTGCTCCTCGGTACTATACGGGCATTTACTAAGCTGCCTGGCACTTTGCGGTCACCTTATGGAGTTGCTAATCTGCCTGTCAACCCTGTCATCAGGCCAGGGCACTGTGAGGTGACCTCCTCCCTCATGGTGCCCTCCCTGGCTGCATCCCCTCAGCAGTGGGGAGCCCACTTCCATGGCCTCTCTGGCACCTGGCACCTGGTCAGGAGGTGCCTGTTATGTGACTCCGTCCTCTCACGATAGATCTGTTGTTATTCCAGCAGCGAAACTGAGGCACAGAGGTTGGGGGGGGGGGCTGTGCTTATCTGGTTAACGATGGTAGGTTTTCTGGTGAGTCCAGCCCCTGAGTGCTGTGTCCTCCACCATGGACCCAGGCACAGCCACATGCGTCTCTGGTCTCCTCCTCTCCTGCCGGGCCTTGGCAGGCCTTGTTTGGCCGTCCCCCTGGGGTGCTGTCCTGTCCCCTGCGCCTACTCAGAGCCTGGTCACTGCTGGCAGCCTAGCTCAGGGACGGCTCCTGGGCACTGTGGCTGGAATTCTTTCCCGAGGAGGAACACAAGGAGGTCTGTCATCCCTGCCTTTCCTCCTGCCCACACCGCCTGCCCCGGCCCCTTGAGGGCAGGCCGTCCACCTCCTTGGTCTCAGCCTGTCCAGGCTCATCTCCCTGAGTTCACTTTCTGTCCGAAGAGGCAAAAACGGCAGGCTGGGGCAGACTGGAGTGCTTCCTGGAGGTGGAGGGCCTGCGTCCTGGGCCAGAGTGTCCCAGGGCCTGTCCCAGTGGGGCTTCTGCCCCTCCCTGTCCTGGTCCCAGCTGGAGGCCATTCCTGGGACCTGAGTCTTCCTTCTCTCCCACCCCACCCTCTCCGGGAACAAGGAAGCTGGGGCCAGTGCCCAGTGCCGCCTCGGGCAGCCTGGCCTCTGCCTTCTTCTTGGAAGCCCTCCCTGAAGGGGACTGCCTGTTCCTGCCTTCACCCAAACCCCGCTGCCTGCCGGAAAGCCCTTCCTGGTCTCAGCTCCTGAATGTCCCTGTGCTGTGACAGTGCCCTCTAGGGAGGGAACCGCCCAGGGCCAGGAGCTGGGGCTGGGAGGTGATGGAGCCCAGGCCTTGGCTTGGAGGAGTCTAGGGTTTGTTGCCACCACAGAAACCCAGGCCCAGCACTGATGAACGGGGGCTGGGCTGGGCCCCACGGCTGCAGAGGCCCTGCGTCACGTCGGCAACCTTCTTTAGTCTCTGGCCTCGGTTTCCCTCTCTGTAAAACAAGGGCAGTATAGATTATATACTGAGGGTATTTAAGATTTGATTGTCTGTAACTTACATTTCAAAACAGGAGGCCAGAGCCCGCCTTGCCTATATGCAGTAAAGTCACAGTGGACATTTATGTTTTTCAGGACAGCTGTGTGGGCAGATACGCTTGGGAGAGGCTGGCTGTCACTAGAGGTTCATGGCTTGGAGGCCTGTTCAAAGTTCTAGGTTCTTCCTGGATTTGGGAGTCCATGCCTCGGATCCCAGTACGTGGTGGCAGACGCAGGAGGATGGAAAGTTTAGGGCCACCTGCAAAACTTAATGAGGTCTTGTCTCAAAAAAATGCTGGGGGTGCAGGGCAAATGCTCCGTGCCTGGGCATTTGTCTGGTGTGTGCCAGGCTCGGTCCCCAGTCCTACGTTCCTTCCCATCACCAATTTTTTTCCCCTGAGTTCTGTCATTTAAAAATTTCTGCAGCTGAGACATTGCTGTTTGTTTTAAATATGAGTCTCATATTTAAATTATGGAATTATTCTCACCAGTGCTTTTAGCACTTTTTTTTCTTTTTTTGGTCTTTTTCCTTTTTATCGGTGCCGGGGATCGAACTCACGACTGCCTGCTTGCAAGGCAGGTGCTTATGCCGCTGAGCTAAATCCCCAGCCCCACTTTTAGCACTTAACAGGGCAGTTTTCGATGAGGAGTTTCACCCGGGTCCAGGGAGGACATAGCTGCTGAAGGTAGCCTCAGAGGCTCCTTGGCACTTGAGATGTGATGTCCCTGACGTATGGGTGGCCTGGTCTTGGGTTCTGCTTCCACATGCTGGTTTGACATTTGCAGAGTGACTCCTCCGTGTCAGGCCTGGCAGGGGTGCGGGCTGAGTAGAATCCGGCCCTTGTCCTGCGGGCCCGTGTCCCCTGCGCTGCCGGAGCCTCACCTCCCTGCCTGTGGTTTCCCTCCCTGCCCTTGCTGTCCACTCCCTCCAGTCTCCTCTTAAGAATCAAGGAAGAGGAGCTCCAGCTCAGGGAGGCCCAGGTGTCCCTCAGGGTGCTGCCTGCAGTTCCTCAGCACCCCCAATCCCAGGTCCGGAGCTCACAACCCCCACGGCCCCCACTGTCCCTGCTCTTGGCTTTGGCTACAGCCCGGGCCGCAAGGCCTGGACGTCTGTCCTGCCGCTGGCCTGTACCGAGGCCCTGCCTGCTGCCTCCGCTGCAGCCCCATTCTCCTTTCTTCCCCGCAGGACCTCGTTGGGTGTGCACCCCCGAGCTGGGTCCTGCACTGTGTCAGCCTGGCGCACGGGTTCCGGGGAGGAACAGGTGAATGAGCCCCATGCAGGCGAGGTACGGAGTCACACAGCTTGGCGCGCAGATCCTGCACCCCCACTTTAGAGCTGTGTGTCCTTGGCGAGTGACTTAAGGTCTCTGGGTGTGTTTCCTTCCAGGATGGGGTGAGGATTAACCCAGATAGTGTCTGTAAACACTTAGGACTGGGCCTGGCACGTACCACGGGTCAGTAAATGG